ATTTCTAGAAAGAGAAATTGAGAAGTGCTGTATTTAATAACCACTGACAATGATATGGTGAAAAGAAGGAAATTATTTTTACTGACAGATTCTGATAGGAGAAAGAGAAGCTTATTGTGGGGTGGGTTTCCTTTTTTATTATTTTTTTTAATTTTATTTTTTTTTTTAAATCACCATGAAAAATTCCTTCCTGTTAATCTGATGGATGGATTACAGTTTGCCCTTGCACGGCCAGTTGTACTTTCCATCAGAACTGGAGATTCCAACCCTCATTATATCATTTCTGTAATGCAAATGGTTATGTATAGAAGGAGATTTAATTAATCCCCTGCTGGTTGGTAGTATACCCTAAAGCAAACATAGTCAGCAAAGGAAAAAAATTAAAACACGAGTGCATGGTACCAGGTCACTGACTGTCAGTGGAATTTCATCATCTGTGAAATATTAACTTATTAACCGAAATGTATTTGCTCTTATAGCTGTAAAAATATTTGTCTATTGTCCCAAGTGATGATAGTGAGCTACCTTGCAAGAAACCAAGGTCAAAGGCAATCTCAGGGATCGTGCTGTCTGCTCTGGCAAAAATATGGAACATCCTGTGTAGTGATGGTTCTCACTTTAATTTGCAAGGACTCCATTTAAGCTGCCATCAGTGCAGGCTCCAGCATCCAACTTTGCCTGTGGGTCTGTGCCATATGCGCAGCTACACATTCAAGGACAAATTACAAGGCTGAGAGAAAGTGACAAATTTGAGTGATGGGCTCCTGGTTTTTTCACACTTTTATAACATAACCTATCTGTTTAAACGGTGTGGGTTGTATTTTAGGTCAAGGAACAAATAGATTTCCAGACTTCATTTCCGTGTGCATACAGTTTCTGCTGCTGCCTGAAACACTCCTGTTTTCAGATGCAGTTTCTGTATCTGAAAGCTGACAATTGAATAAATTTTTCAGTATCTATGCACTAAACAATGTATTATGGAAACAGAAGAAGTGATGTTTGAAATGGCCAGTGTATTTTCCCTTCTAGCTTCCTTGCTGCCTCAAAAATGAGGATTCAGTCCTATTGTCAAACCTGAACTGTAGCATGATACGGTGTCCAACTGACTTGATATCCTCATGATCTGAGGTGATAAGATAAAAGAAAACAAATATAAGGAGCTCTTTTGAAGGCAGGTATTTGAATCTGCTTTTTATAAACTCCACAATACTGAATTTCTTTCCCAAGATCCATTTTTAACTACTTATCTGAAAATTTGCTGCTTCTTTTGTCATGTAGAGATCAAGTTGCATGTTTAATAATTATGCCTTGAAATATGGAACTGATACAAAAAATTAACTTTCAGAACAGTCTGTTCTTGTCATTTGGGTACTGCAAGATTTAATACACTCTTTATTTTTTAGGATCTGTGGACGTAGTTCTTTATTTCCCCTTCTGAAAGTTCTGTGTGAATAATGTGCACCAATCTTTTAAAATGTTCTTATGCTATTTAGCACTTCATATAAATCAAATATAAATGTAAGCCTCTATTTTAAGGGTTGTATTGTTGACCTAGAGAGCAGGTGGCATGGGGGCTGGCTGAAGTAATAATGGTAATATAAATATAGCTACTGGCAGCACAAGTGCTCGGGGAGGCAGATGTGTTGTCGGAAGGGGCAGTTTAGAATCTTGCACGTTCATGTGTTGTTCTCATCAGAAGGGTGGTCTTAAATGAAAAATGTCCTTTAGGATAAACCAGCTTATTGAAAGGATTACAGCTGCACCCCGTAAATAGTGTTTCAGACCAAGTAGTCACAGCTCAGCACTCTTTTATTAGTTATCTCCCCTCTTAAAATGTGATTTATTTTTTCAGGATACGTGGACATATAATGCCAAACTCCATTGTGGTGTGCGTCAAATCACCAGGCAAATCACGCCACTTCCCTCATAATTTACTAACTAAAACATTTAATCTGTACTATAAAACTGACTCTGAGTAGAGTTTAACCTTTGTAGGGTGCTTGTGAAATGCCGTTGGACTTTTCTCTTATATTTTGCGCAATTATTGAATCATTGTTTTTATAGTGCTTCTTCACTATGTTTGAAACTACCCTGTTATTTCAAGATGTAAACTCTGTTTGTCCCACTGCACACATTAGTGTTGAGCCATCTTAAGACACAGCTGAGTCTCCACCCTGTGAGTGTGTCCCCATCCCTGGTAGGCATTTCCATTGTCTGCTTGATCCCCTGGAGACCTGCAGTGTTCTGCTGACAGTGAACATCCTCAAATAGGTGCCCTGAAATAGGCCATCAGTTGTCTGCAGTCTGCTCTCTCCTTCCTTCCATCTCCAGGCATTTTCTTTCTGGGATATAACCTTTTCAGACCCCAACTCACTGGTGGTTTGGGAAAAGCGAAGGATGTGATTACGCTGCTCGTGGCTGTCTAACATCCAGCTCTGGTGCTTTTGCCTTGGCCCTGCTGGTCGTATCTGACTTGGGGGATTGTAGGTGCTGTTCCCAGCCCTGCTTTGGAGAGGCAGAAAAGGGTGAAGAGCTGGGAGGGTGCTGCCTTGGCATTTCTCCAGAGGACAGGAAAAGTGCTGTGGAGGTCGGGGCATGGCTCGCTGTATGGCTGTTAGGGTTTTTGAAGGGGATTTTAAGACTAACAAGAAAAGAGGCATAGTGGAACAACAGGTATAAAAATTGATTGTTTTGATTGTGCTCTTTCTTGTCAAGACCACAGTGATATTAAATGTGAGCCAGTGCCTATTGATTGCACAGCTGCACTGTGTTTGTCAAGGTGGAGGTGCAGAAGGAAGACAATTGCTACATGGATAGGATGATGTTTCAGTTGCATTGAGATGTCATCTGCTAGGACTTTCTTCCTTGCTTGCTTGGGAACTCAGTTGATCACAGTTTTCAAAGGTACAAAGCTTTCAGGAACAAAGCCCAAGGCAGTCCTCCTTCTAACCTTGCATGCATTTAATCCTGAATTACCTATATTATAGGAAGTATTAAAGGTAATAATTGTGTGAGTAAAACAAGTGTTCAGTAGAGGAAAGGAAAGGATTTGTCCATTCCTGTTCCTGGACCATGTTTCTTGTGAGGTATATCTGTAAGTCACAATTATTGGAGCTGTGCTGCTGCAAGGGAGTGTTCTCTAAGTGACATTTCAGCCCTAATGACTAGAGCAAAGGTTGTAAAAATGAACCCTAAAAGCTGAAAAACTAGAAGGTAGATAAAGAGACTTAAAGGTCACTGTTTTGCTTTTTCAGCCAGTACCATGAAATTCCAGAGCTTTATACATGCATTCTGAAAATTTCTGGGGCTGACTGTGTTGGAATAAACAGAAATATATAATTTGAATGGAAAAAGTGCCCTCTACCAAAAGGTGCCATCTTCTTTAAAGAGGATAAATTAAATACAGCTGCTCATATGATGTAAGAGATGTATATGCATGTGTAAATACTATACTATCTACAGAAGCAGAATAATATATAATACCTATAATCTTACCTATTTATTTATCCATTTGTAGTGGCAAAAAGCTGTCATTGCTACGTAGGCTTCATGATTGGAAAGTAATTCTTCCTAACAAATGAAAGTGGAAGAAGTACCTTTTTTAGAATATAAAACACACAACCTGTTATAGATGCTAATGATTTATTATCTTATGCACTTGAAGTGTTTTGATTAGATCTTGACAAGTTTGTCTGATGACAGGAATTTATTTCTCGATGCTGTAAGCTGTCAGCCTTGTGATAATTCACACATGAAATTTGCTTGGAACTGTTAAACTGCAATGAAATTTCAAATTGTGGAGAACTCATGCTTGAAAAGAATAACACCCTGTTTAAGATTGATTTGTTTGTTTATTGATTTATTAGTTTTAGTGGCTGTAACTTTTTGGTATCTTTGAAAAACGTTCAGGCAATTCCCATGCGTTACTGACCGGACCAGTCACTGACTGTCAGTAACACAGTCATGTCAGTCATGAACTCCGTAACTAAAGACGGAAAAGAGATTTTACCAGATTTTATGGATTTAATTTTTTTCTATTGACTTTTTATTTCCCCTCAGAATTCAGTGAAAACATTGATTTTAATTTTTTTTTTTCCCTTAGAAGGGATGAAAGACACAGCACGTAGATCCACTTGGTATTGGCTGTGCTGGCACTTGCTGTGATCAGCCGAGGCGAAGCAGCCCGGGATCAGGGAATATTTTCCTGGCGAAGCATCCAGGGAATATTTTTAGGGATACAAACCAAGAACCGGCGGCGGGCGCGGCTGCCACCTGGCGGCGACCCTCGGGAGCGCAGCCCCGCCCGGCCGCGAAATCCAGAGCCGGGAGCGGGCGCTCCCTCGGGATGCCGCGTCCATCCCTGGCCGCGCCTTGGGGTGCCCGTGGGCTGAATAAAAACCTTAAAAAGAAAATAAAAACTGAAATAAAAACCTTAACACACCCCCCCCTCCCCCCGTCTGCCTTTGCTTGTGCTGCCGAGGTGCAAAACGGTGCTGGTAAGTGGTGGTTGTGTTTGGCCTCCGATTTTTGTACGTTTAAAAAAAACGCGAACAACCAAACCAACCCCCCAAAAGCCATTCTCTTACATTAATTCTTCCTTTTGGTGAGATTGTGAGACCACCCCACACAGCTGCAGGCACACTGCGTTCCTCACTCCTGGAAGGGATTCGATCTGATGCTGATGCGGAATGTAGGACAGAATTAATTACTGCCTTATCTGTGCTTAGGCTTGAATTTCAAAGTTATGTTTGCTCTGTTGAGTGCTTATGATTTTTTGACTACAAAGGCAATGGCTGTTTAGACAAAGTGAGCAACTTTTGTACCCCAGGCTGTGCTCTGTGGATGTGCAGCAGCAGTGCTGTGGAGTTCTGCACTGAGCATGCGTTGGGAAGTGGCCAGCTCTTTATTAATTTCACCTCAGTCATTTATTGATAAATAAATTAGTAGTAGCTAATAACAAGTAAAACTAACTCAGGTTTTCATTCTTATTTTTCTTCCAGAAAGAGCTCAGTCTCCCCAGAAGAGGAAGCTTGTAAGTATAATTATTCTTTATTCATCCCTTGGTTTGTTTTGAACATATATAGCTGTTCAGTTGTGGAAGTAATTTAGATGGGCAGATGCTCCGTTTTCTCTGTTAGCATTTTGAAGAATCTGTCACGCTCTTGGAAACAGCTAGCTTGGATTTCTCTGAGACTAAAGCCTCTATTCATTTCCTTAAGCGTAGTAGGAGAAGTAGTAGTAGTGTAAGCTTACTTCTAATTACCAGCTTGAGCTGATCCTGATATGGAAGTAGCTGCGGTGTTGAGTGTTGCTGCACTGACATTGCTGAAGTGACTCCAGAGAAGTCACTGATTATTTATGTGATATGGACAACTTTGATCACTGTTCTTCAAACAGTCTGTTGACAGAAGTCTAAGCGCACAGCTCCTGGGCCATGCAGGTCAGGTGTTTGTGGAGCAGGCAATCTAATAGAGGTATTTCAATTAAGGAGCACATGTTGGGAAAAGTGGGCTTTTAAAAATGCGATTTAAACAAACAGTAATTTTTTAAAATGCATTATGATGTTTAAAGAATTTTAGTGAACCAACTCGTGTTTCAAGGATATTACAGAGCTTAGTTTCTGCTATGATTACAGATTTATGGTGGAAGAAATTGCATTATTGATTGCATTGTATAAAAGAGAAAGCTTCTGTACTGCCTGCTGTTGCATTATGATTTAAAATTGTTTCCCAAAGCTTGTGGACTACGGACATGAAGCTCACAAAAAGCATATAACCTTTCTTCCTCAGGTTTCTGGTTCTAATGCGAAATTATTTTCAGCCTTCCAATGTAAGCTATCCCCTTTGTATAAGAAACAATGTTTGGAAAATGCTGTGTAGTGCCAGTGATTCAGGGCCGAACAATACAACAGATCAAAAGGTCCTTTTTTTTACAGTGAGGCATGACCAGACCTTTTTGTTTAGTTCATATGACAATGATAAACCAGTCAGGGAGTTATTTAAAGAACATGAAGCACTAACTGGTTTTGGTTTTTTTTTAACCAGTATGCCTCAAAGGCTGGCTTAACGAGATTTGAGAGGTTTCTAAGACAGGTGGTGTTCATCATTTGAAGATTATGAAGGTTCTTTGATCAAATAGTGGAGCAGTGAGTTACCAGTAAGTTTTTCGTTAGTGTAGCTTAGATATTTTTGCACAAAACTTTTGGAATTGAAATTGAGGATGCCAGAGATATTCCCTTCCCTCATTCCAGTGTGGAGGTGGGTATGACACAAAACTATTTATGTATTTTCATTTGAAATATCTGAGATGCAAATGAAGTGCTTCATATGTGTGTAGTGTTTTAGTTACTAGTAACTAAACCAAATGACTGAATCCTTTATTTCTATATTTACTTAACACCTTCAGTTTTCATTGCTTCACTTTAGTTTTCTTCCAGAAGTTAATGCCTTTTAAGCCATCATTATGTGAAGAAATTTAGCAATCTGTGTCAAGAAGATCCAGGCCATAAATTTTAAGGTTGCAGCTATTAGTGAGATTGAAAATCTATGAAGAATTGAAATGTTTTAAGTTCGTTGCCTGTGTTATCTAGTTGATTATTGACTTGTGGTTTCTGGAATTACAGATTCTGTAATCAAATCCAGTACCAAGTCGAGTCAAGAACCAAATGACTTCTTGTTGTTTGAAAAGTTTAACTTTTAAGAAATGAGTAGTGCATTGGGCTGGTATAAATGCCATATATATGTATCCATATAAAAATGGATATAAATACCAATATATACTGTTTGTGTTGATGCTGTACTATTAAGTGTACAGGCTCACTGAAAAGGGACTTGTGGAGTTGATGTACATGGTTTTGTATATCCCAGTATCAGAATACTTACTTGGATTAAAAAAAAAAAAACACTTAGTCTTTGAATTAGGAATTAGAGATATTTATATCCAGGGAATAATTATATGTGTGTATATATATGGTGAAAAATATACATATACTATGTAGAAATTTGTTCAACCGTTGTCTCAAAAAGGACTCCGTAACAACTGTAAGCAGTTCACAATTCTTCTGGAGGCTTTTCATTTGCTTGAATCAACTTAGCAGTGAACCTCATAAGCACAAATAAATTCTGAAAGTAAAATTTATTCTGAAAAGCTGTTTCTGTGGCTGATGAGTAGGGATAGTTATGGATGTAGCTACATCCTGATTCATTGGCTGTCAGTCTTTGACTTTTGTTCACGGACAGAAGCAGAGGCAGGAATTGACAGGAGGATGAAGTGTCTGGCTTGAAGCCACAAACCCTCAAGAGGTGCATCCATTTGCTGCACAAACTCCAGCCTTTGTAGCAGTTCAGTAGCAACTGTGTTATATACAAACATCAGCCACTCAGCGTTCTTTTGTGTGCTAGTCTTGAAGCTGGGGTGCACTTGCTACTGTAAAAAAAATATTTGGGGAGGAAGTAATTATTTTACAGTCAGCCAGAAGCAGAATGAAGACTTGATTATTACTGCTTTCTTGGTGATTGCTTCACTTGATTGTTGGGTTAGAAAGGTTTTAGCCTGTGGATTAGCTTGGATATTTGTCATTGCTGAATGGAGAAGGACAAGCTTTTCCTGACAATGCTTCTGAATTTTTCTTTGTTTGACTCTCATTGCTTCATATTTCCTGGGTCGGTATGAGTAGTCTCTATTTTTCTGCAGGGACTGATTGTAGGCATGGACAACAACAGTTGCTGTGCCTGTTTGTGCTAAGGAAAAGGAGTGGAGTTACATGTTTCAGTATTTTTGTCAGGAGAGCGTGAGCAGTTTTCCTGAAAAAGGAAATTCATCTAAAGAAGGTCTTGGGTAGAAGCTGAAGAGAATGAATGGTGGGATAGAGCCTGTGAAATCTGTTGATGAGTGATTCTGTTTCCATATTAGCAGAAAGAAGCACAGGCACAGTGTAAAGGATAGCTTTGTCCTTAGATATGTTGCAGTCTTATTTTGAAATAATCAGCACAGAGTGAGCAGACATGTAAAACAGATGGGGGAATTGTATGCAGGGTGACACTAAGAGAAATGCCTGATTATTTAGATACAGTTTTGCTGTAAATGTGCTTAAAGTGTTTGTGTTTCTATAGGGGAGTTATGTTTAATACACTAAAGGAAATTATACTCAACTGAGTTGTAGGCTGCTAAGAGGTTGAATAGTACGAGAACAGGAACAAGTAGTTATGTTCTGTCTCTGGTGTGGTTCAGTAATCAGAGTTCAAAGTTTTCCTTTAATGAATTATGCATAAAAATGTATTGGTTATGTTTTTCCCCATGCTTTGTTCACAAAAGAAATAATTACCATTCATGAATATTTTCTTTAATTTCAAATAGCGAATGTGGAGTGATAGACCCAAACTTTGATCTCCAGCCTATTAGTGGAAGTGGTTTAATTATTTTCAGCCTGTTGTGTTCTTTTGGAGCTACATCATGTACAGAGATTGGTTTTTGTATTGTTGGCTTCAGCTTTCACGTGGTTTTGATGTGCACCTGCACGTGAAGTGCACTAGAGACGGCCCTGACCTGAAAGGACAGAGGTGGGGACTGTGCAGCAAGAGGAGGTTCTTGATGCACCACCTGTGTGTGTTTAACAGCATTTCAGCACCCAAAAGACCAGGCTGCAGAGTGCAGTTCTCATTGTGGCTGCAGGATGCACAGCACCAGCCTGCAGCTCACTGTTTCTTCTGGTTGCCTCCTCGGCTGATCAGTGGTCACTAAATCCAGTTGGGGTTGCACTTGAGCCATCTGGTTTCTTGTTCAGTACCCCATTAATAATAAATGAATAATAAATGTGGTTGTTTATAACATGAATTTTATTGACTTCTTCAGGCTTTTTAATGAAAAATGTGGGTTTATATTTCAAATCCTTGTGGTTTCTAAGGCAGGGTTACCAGTGTGGGTTGTTGTAATTTTTGGGCTATCTAAATGAGTAATTTGCTAAAAAGAATATATGGTTTTCCCACATTATATCTAAATTTGAAAAGAATAATTTCCTCAGCAAACTAAATTTGCTAAACCAGTTTGTAACTTCAGGTATAAGTTGTTTTTGTTAATTCTTTCCTGCTATCAATGATCTGTATCAAATAGATTTTAAACTCTGTGTACAAACGGAAAAAGAACATGGAGGCATAAGAAACATGAAAAAAAATTTTTGATACAGAATATGTCCCGTAAAAATACATATTTATATAAATCAAATATTACAGACTGCTGTTTTGATGGTGATATGTGCTGGTAAAAAGTAGTATTTACCTTAAATTTTTATATCTGTCTCTATGAAATACGGTAAGCAACGTAATAGTGTTTGCTAAAGACTTATGCAAGCCTTTTATGGTGGTTTTTATCCCTTCTAATTGCTTTTTAAGACAGTTTATGTCCACTGTGGGACTTGTTTTCTCTTGTTCTCTCTCTCTCCTTCCCTGCACTACCCTTCTACTTACAAACCTCTGAAGGGTCTTAGTTGCTACAGCAATGTAGCAAGTTGCTACATTTCCGAGGGTGTTTCATTAAACAAGTCTTCATCATAATTTGTTAAACTTACTCCCAGCTTCCTGACAATAAAATAACACTTAAACACACCAGGGAGTTTCTTGGGAAGGATGTGCTGAATTATGTGTATTCTTTTTAATGTTTAGACCTTGAAAACAACATCAAGTTTGATGGCAGGAAAGAAAATGTCTGGCCTTTAGTGCTGGTTTATGTCTTCGTGTTGACATGCTCAGGTGCTGTGGGAATTCCTTCTGTATCTGCAGAGAAATGGAGTATATCACTCTGTTTCTGCTCATCTCGACGGGTGAGCGTTTCTGCTGGTGATGGATCGATGCCGTTTCCCTGCCAGGAGCAAGTGCTGTTGCCCCAAGAGTGGGGAAACCAAAGTGTTGGAAATGGATGAAAAATGGTTCTGAAAAGGATCAGGGAGTTGTGCTACTTTCGCACTCTGTTCTGATTTGGATCTGGAAATAAAGTAAGCAATAATGCCTCCAGTCGATGCTTTCTGCTTGTGATGCTTTC